CTTTTGCTATCAACTTGTGCAGACCCATCAGGAATTGTTAAGATATACTCACTAAGGATGTGAGTGACAGAAATAGAATTTTTACTAAAATACGGCTTAAATTATGATTTTTATGGTAGTTACTCATTTAATGTATAATAACAGTGATGAAAATGTAAAGCATAATTTGTTGACCCTTTTGTTATTTTAGTTTTTTTTATTTAAAATTATAATAATCAACCTTTTATTTTGATGAAAGTGAGTCATGATTTTGAGTATTTTTTCTTCTTCAATTTATTATGAAATAAAAATATAATAAAAACTAATAATAAATTCTGAATTGCAATCTTTTTGCCAATCAACAATCATAAAAATACCTGCTTTCAAAAGTAGTTCCACTATTTCCGTATGACCTTTTCTAGAGGCCCATATCAGTGCAGTGGTTCCGTATTTGTCTCCGATGTTTATTTTCGCGCCATGCTTAATAAGGGATTCGACAATTTCTGTATGACCGCGACCTGCTGCCCACAGTAACGCAGATATGTGATAGTTTCCATGTGCGTTTACATCAGCGCCACTTTTCAGCAATAAATCGACCACTTGTGTTCTACCTTTGTAACAGGCCCACATAAGTGGAGTCCAGCCCCCCTGAAGATTAAAATTGAATAATTTAAATATATTTATACTAAAATACGTTAAAAAAAACGCAAAAATGTTTTAAATAAAAATAAAGAAAAATTCTAAAACCCCACTAGAGCATTAACGGCTCATCTAAAAGTTATAAATATTAATTAACTACTAACTAGATCTCCATAGTGTATAATAATAATAAACTGTATGTAAAATATATCTTTTCGGTAAAACTCGTACTTAAATTATTTCAGTTGTGGTTTTCTGGAAAAATAATCATTCAAAAGGCAATATATCTTTTATCGGCGGTAATAGTACCTACTGTTATAGTTTTTTTGATTGAATTTTAAAAATCAATTACCTATCTAAGAAAGTAATTCATGTAATTCATAGTAGCTATTCCTATGCATTTTAATATGGGAGTGCAAATTTGAGTTTTCTCTTTAGCTGGAATGGCTTTTTTGCAAACTTTACAAAGAACCCTTTTGTTTTCATGGTTGACCTACAAGTCTAATTTCAATAGAAATGCTTATTTTCTTTTCAAGTTTCGAGCTTTTTTGCACATTCGATAAAAAGCAGGCATATTAAACCTTCAATTTGCTGTCAGTAAAAGAATATGAAGTGTCAATTTTTAGGGGTTTCCCAGAATATCAGTAGGCGAAAGGTGCGTTCAAGTTCAGACTTCAGATCAGCTACATTCGACTAAATCTATCTACTATGATTTAATAATGATGAACCCATAGACATATATTAATGGACGTGCCTTAGCCGTATGCCGTTGTAATAATTTCTTGGTTCGAAAAGTGAGGGAGATGGCGTATGGTTTCGGACTAGTGCTATCTCTTTCTTGACACGCTTACGCATTACCGTTAGAGAGATGGACATTGTCCGAAACTTCGTTCCATCTCTTTCTTTTGTTGTACCACAATTCTGACCGCTAAGGCATGTCCATTAGTAAACGTCGATGGATGAACCTATATATCAATAGATATGAGTTCCTTTTTGTTATTGATGTATTTATGGAATAGGCACCTACAACGTATTCGGTTTCAACCTACCCCTTAATCATTAATTAGTATCATATATGTATTATTCATTTCAATAAGCGGTGGTATTTTTACCAATTTTCTATTGTACGTTTTTCGTCTTTTTGTGCAGAAATGACAAATAAATATTTTGAGAGCTCGCAGTACTCAGAAAATGTTGCTCTACTGCTTTGGGTAGAACTAATTATTTTAAAGCAATTATCTTTCGCTTGAAAATTACCATTTCCCTGGGATCGATTTTAGCATCGTGTTGAAGCAGCTCATAACAGATGTCGACATGTCCTTCCTTTGCTGCGCAGTGAAGTGCGGTCCAGGAGTCGGTGTCTTCTATGTTGGGATCAGCTCCGTGGTTAAGAAGTTCCCGTACGAAGTCCAGCCTTCCCTTCGTAGCAGCCAGCATAAGTGCGGTGCCTCCGTTCTATTTTAAAATTTTTTGTTAACAATATCTTAATCAGTTTATGTTGTTTAATTCGATTTAAATGTTATTATTTTTACTATTTAAACATAAAACCGATTATGAATAGTGCAAAATGTAGTGTCTTAAAAAAAATGACGAACTTGAATATCTTCAATTGCAAATATCATTCTTTCTGGGATTCGACTTCATCATTATTCCCTATATCTAAAATATATTTGAAAATTAACGTAAATTATCGAATAAAATCTCTATAGTTAAATGTAGACATCTTTTAATTTAAACAAAATTTACACAATAGAAGTTAGACATATTTGGAAAAATTCAATTAAAAAATTATATTTGGAAATAAAAATACCTTTTAGCCGAAATGAAAAAATTTTGCAGGAGGGGTATCGATTTACAATGTTTAAGCTTTATGTTTTTATGCAATTATTTAGCGAGGATA